GTTGTTGTACAGCATTACCGAGCAGCTCGATACTATATATTATTATATATATATACGTCCGCCGCCGCGTATATGGAAAAACGGGTGGCCCGGTCGGCATGCGGCAGTTACACTTATCACGTATATTTAGACGCGCCGCCGCTACCGTTGACTTCCATAATAATCGTTGCAGGTATAATACGCAAATACAATGATGTATGGAAATCTTACAAACCTCGTTGAGATATACACACGCTGCATTATTTCACCGGTTCTGCCGGCCGTGAAATCGAATAGCGATGCGTATAATTTATAGTTTAACCCCCCCCCCCCTCGACGTGAGCTACGGGCGTACTGTGGAGCGGCACTTTAATATAAGTCCGACGGTGGTTCAAAGTTCGATTATTATTTATTAATAATTTGCTTGTAACGAACTACTCCCGTTGCCCCCAAATCGTAATATAATATTGTGACATAAAAATTAAATAATAAAAACTCACAATACGCACACTATATTATAGCTATTTAAATAAATTACCGGTAAAGAACCTATAGGTGGACGTGAACACAAAAATACATAGCAGTACTTATATAAAATCAGTGAATTTTGATTGCACAACGATATCACAATATTATATGTTATAACGGTATTCGATGTAAAGATATATAATCTGAAAATGAGAATGTTTTGTGTAAAGGAGAGAATTTTAGACCATCTATATAAAAAAGTTTTGATAATGATGCGATAATTTAAGAAAAACCACGATGTACGATTAAAAGACCACGTCAAGGATGACGAGTAATTTAATTTACAACTGCTGTTTGACGGGCTTTCTGATGTCGACCGCATTTTCTCACACTTCGACGACGGTATAATAACAACTGTATAGATTCTATAATTATTATTTCTCTCCGATAGGTATGGTCGAGATTGTTGGATGTCGATTTCCGGTGGGAACGCGTATAGCATTATAGTCGAATTTAACAGTGAAAAGAAACTAAAATAAATAAATACAAGAAAAATGAATACCAATATGAAATATTGTACATATACATAATTTAATATTAATGTTAAACAATAATCGTTTTTGTGAAAAGTTGCGTGCTATGGAAATTCACATTACATAATATATAACAAGGCATATGAACGGTACATTTTTAATAGTTTTAATAGAAATACATACATATTAAATATCTATATGTTTCACAGTATACCTGCATATGTTGCTGCCTCCGGGGGAGTAGCGGAAAAAACTAAAAATTAAATCTAAAAAAAAATAAAGAAACTGGCCCCGAGGTCGAGGGTGGTATAAGTATATTATATATATACATAAATACATACAAAAAAAAGAATAAAAAGAACCGTTTTTCTTTTATTTCGTTTTCGTATCTCCAAAGATTATCCCGAGGTGGCTTGCAGCCTTTACACACGCGCGCGTATCCTTTTATGTACCTATAAACGCGGTGGAAACGTGAATATTTATCCCTGAAACGGTGCTGGTGTAGTGGTGGTGGTGTATATTTTAGGTACCACCGTGGGCGCGTAATCAAAATGTCATTAGCGAGATTACCCGGGGGCCCCCGAGCCCTCCACGAAGCCGACGTTTTTAATACGCAACGATTTAGACGCGCGTGCATTGTACGAGAACATCGGCACTGCTGCTTTTCCCCACCCCCTCCCCTCGCCGGCGGTTTGAATGCGGCTCGCGGGGGTGGTTTTTATACGTCCGGGGTAAATCCAGCTACCTTCCCTTAGGTTACGACGGTGTGCGTGTGTCTATTGTATGATAGCGCAGGAGTAGTAGTAATAATAAACGGGAATCGATGCCAACAATATCTCGACACATTAGAAAACTCGGGCGGCTGTCTCATATAATATAATATAAAGTGTGCTTATATACGACGACGGTGGGTCGAAGAGTCATTTGCGATGTATACTACCGATTGAGGGGTGAATGAGATAGATACTTACAACGACGGTAGTTATATATATATATTATATATATAAAAACCCATAACCGCTCTTAACCTCTATGAAGAGCCGAGTCTGCGCGGGCGCAGGTGTCGCCGCCGCCGCCGCCGCCGTGAGCTGTATATCCGATTCGTAATGTTATTATTATTATTATTATTATTATTATTATTATTATGAACTACGACGCGTTGGTCGGCATCGGAAGCCTATCCGACATTAGAATACCTAATAATAGTAATAATAATGCGTATAGACGAATGGCCGACGTCAGATGAGAACTATACGAGTATGTAATATATTATATAATAGAATAGACGATTGGAGTTTAAAATGTATAAATGTATAATCAGCGTCGCAACAGCGCTTTTACGATTTTTGTTTTATTAAATCACAAATCGATAAAATATAAAACAATATTTCATAAATGTACGTACCTATATTAAATCATTTATACCAAGGCAATAAGAAATATAAATACATTTATTAACGCATACAATTGTGCACAAATTATTACCTGGGGCATTATAAGACTTATACAAATCATATTGGTATTCATACACCGTATGTCTAGTATCCTTTTCTAATTAATTTACGGAAATAGATTTATAGAATGGTTTAAAAACTAGCCGTGGGGCTTTTAATTATTTCCATTTAATCTATGCAATAAATTACCTTATTATGTTATTTATTTCACAATTCGTTGTATTTATATAGTTACATTATCATTATCATTTGTCACTTGTCAGTGGTCGTTTTTATGTATATTACTAGGGAGCGGGACCCCGGGTATATATAACTATTATATACGCAAATAAACAAAACTAACATTTTCTATTTTATAGTGATTTGATTAAAAATAGAGAGTTCATAATTAAAATACAACAAATATAATATTCATATAAAGTTAAACTTCTTTATGAGGTACATGACTGTCCAATTATTTACAAAATATAAACTGGAACATGTACAAGCTATATCTGACTCAATTAGGGAATCTGAAGACATAATATTATAATGATTGTACATGAGTACAATACATAGATAGGGATAAGTGTAATATATGAATATAATAGTAGAGTAGTACATTAGACGTACAAATCTGGTTTTTTTTAAATGTCTTACGGTGATTTCGATTTTATCAGATACATTATATCGTTACTTTTAGTATGTACGATGTACTACGCGTAATACAGTCATTCAAGAAATATCAACTCGACACGATAGAAAAGGCGCAAAGAACAAACTCGCGTTACCGAACAAAAATCAACGGACGTTTATGCTCGAATAACTTCATTTTATATCAGCTGACGCCGAGCTGAACAACAATATCACGAGTCTGTTTCCAACAATAAACTGTGATGACGTAATACGCGCGGGGGAGGAGAGGGTCGTCTCGTTGTCGAAATTTAGATTTTGATAAAGTTGAATCAGGTAAAATTATGATTGAATGGTTATAAACTAAACAAAAATTCAATTTTTAATTTAGCCAATAATCTTTAGCCATATTTTTTAAGTGTAGTAATTTCAAACATTAGCTGATTAGTTCTGCGTGCCATCATTTGTATAGTACTGTATGAAATAATACAGGGAGGAGAATAAATTGTCGCGGTTGACGAATAACAATAATAACATATAATATATTATTATACGCCGATGACAAAACCGGATTAAAATTTTTGCCCGTCAGCATAGTGCGTTGCGGAATAGTGGCGGGGTCGGTGGCGGTGATATGGTGGTGGCGGAGGTACGGGAAAAAATCCTAAAAGAAAAAATCCCACGGATGCGTTTTTGCGCGGTTTTCTTCTGCTGCGGTGCTCGACCCGGCCGGGGCTGTCGGCGGCGCGCGCGCATTCGGTTTGACGGGCGCGTACGCGACATGCAATATGCATGAGACGACCGCGACGACGGCAGACCGGTTGCTGTGGCGGCGGCGGCAGTCGTCGTCGTCGTCGAGCTTAATTACGCGGACAGTTAAAAAAACCGAATGAAAAACATAATATTTTATTTCCGACCAATCGGACGACGCTAGCGTACCGGCCAATGGGGTGTAGACGAGTGACGAATACGACACGAAGCGTGTGTATATTTATATGTATACCTGTTATGGAAGAATCTTCGTTTTGTTTTACAGGAATAGAAAACTCGTAAATGCGTTATTGCGAATCTATATAGTATTGCATTTAAATCGAATTCGCATAAACGAGCCTAATCGAACCCTGCAGTATAGTGTATAATGTTTATGATTGCGCTAGATCAGTGTTTCCTAACCTAAGAGGCGTTCTACTCAGGTGGGTGAGAGGGTGATGTTTAACACAAAAAATCAACAATTTATCAACCAAGCAATACTCGAAAATTTAATTAAATTTAACACATTATACAGTTCAATTTTAATCTCGAATCAAGACCTTACCTGTTATCAAATTATCATAATATGATAAAATTGTGCTTTAACGATAAGTACCGATAGTCTAGACAAGTCTCTATAATGAATGAGCATAACATTCGTATAGCAATAGCCAACGTAGTGTGAAATCGTGTCTTCTTTTCACAAATGTTCATCATATTATTTATTTTAATATAAAAATTCAAAGTAATGATTCGATTTAATTTTCATTGAAAAAATAGAATGCAGCAACCCCTGCAGTGTCAATATTTTTTATTTATTTATCAACTTATCATTCTAAGAACCCTGGCAGTACAACCAAAAAAAGTCATCTATATTTTTGTTTGATTAATAGATAGGGGGTGAGATTTTCAAAAACCTACAAGGAGGAGTCTATATAGCAAAAAAGGTTGAGAAACACTGTGAGCTGGATGTACGCGGTGTTCAATATAATATACCTACTCGTAGTGTTGCGGTATAATATTTTGCAGTACACTGCTCAACTGCTGTGTGTATAATAATAATAATATTTTCGCCAACGAGCGCACATTCCGACTGCAGGATTACATTATGTGTGTGTAATAATATAATACAATCGTCGTGACGGTTATTTATCGTGATATTATATATCTATATAATACGGCGCGGTGGCCACGTTGTTCTTACCCGTTGATCGAAGTCTTCGTCATGAACACGTTCAGCACTGATGACACCATCGATTTCCACACTTGCGCCAATAGCCTGTCGCTCTGCTCGATCGAATCGTCCAAGAACCGTTCGGTGTCCGCGTCCGAGTGCATCTGCACAAAATTTGAAAACACGTCGTTGTCCAATTGGGATTTGTCCACCGAGTACCACTATAAATGTGAAACAAAAAACGACTCGTGTTACTATAATCGTATAACATAGACATATGATATATTACATATAGGTAGTATGAGTGTATCATTATAGTCGAGACTATATACGGTTTGACTTGGCTTGGGGGGATATTGAGACGGTCATTATAATAATATATCCTTTAAATAAACAAGAGGTTTTTTTATGCTATATTGTGCCTCCTCACAATAGCAAAAAAATAAATTCCAAAAACGTGTAATTATTATAAATTTATATAAGTAATAATAATAAAACGGGAAAAAAATGGGTTTTTCAAATTTAATACGCACATATAATACATCATGCCTGCTATATACCTGTGCGGCGCGTGCAGTAATTATATATTATAATGGTGTTTACCATTTCCTTATTTTCCGTTGGAACTCGGGGTTGTTACATAATATATTAATAATAGCTGAAACGATAAAATGTATACAAGCTGGACTATATAATAGGGATGACGACAAGCCATTTTTTACGACCGCCGATCGTATTATTATGTCCATTGTAATCTACTGTCACGTATAATACGACTAATTAGACCACGCCGTGTGTAATTATATACGAAACAACACATGGCGAATAAGAACGTGTATGTACTCACACTTTGTATATTTGTATATATCCATGAATATTATTTGTTTCTATGTCTTTCCCTCTTTTTTTGCATTCTTTTGTTTAACACCTAACTTTGGTTTACAAAAAAAAATTATGTAGACAATATATTGTCTATACATTGGCTTATATGGACAAAAGTGAAAAGGCCATTTTTTTTTTGTAAAACGATACGTCGTGTTTGTTTGTTTTTTATGCAAATTTAATCAATAATTATATACTTAACCGTTCTTAGTCACAGCTAAATTACACTTCTATGGAAATAAAATATAATATATTCTGTATATTATTTGTTCAATCAACAATCCAAACATTTACACTGTTCAGCAAGACACTTATAAATATGCATTAACTGTTATAAACCGATTGACATAAACAACATAAAATCTCAATAGTGTAGTGAGTATTTGAAACAGTCATATTATAATAAATTATGTTTAGTAAAAATACTGGATTTATTTTCTATTTATTCGTACATTTTGTAACAAAATATTAATGAAGAAAAATCTTAGTTGGCCAAAGCTTATCACAATAATACAAAAATTTTAAAAATATATATATATTGTGCAAATTCATTAAATTTAATAAAAGTAAAGATAATATTATTATTTTTTTTTTTTTTAAATTTATAATTTTTGCGTCATGACTTATGTCATATATAAAGTCAATACATATAGAAATGTATAGCAAATATATTAAAATAGTATAATATAATATGTTAAAACAATACTATATCATACATGGATTTGTATACATAATCAGTTCGTACGTATATTTTATTATTATTAAAATAATAAGTAAACACATAAAAAGTTTGTTTAAAATTCAATACGAGTTGTTGGGTTAAGATTTATGACAATATCTAAGCAGCGTTCTCAATATTCAAAACTATATTACAATAAACATACAAACTCAAATTGAAATATTTTAACTGTAAACAATACGTGATGTAAATTATGAAAGCGCTAACATCGTTGTTAGTTATACCTTATACATTGTACGTGTTATTAAAACAAACATTAAATAATTTAAATTTTTTTCCAATTTAAAACAATATAAATACAAATCATCATCAGATCCGTATGCTTTCATTATTGACACGCAACACCAATGCAGCAGGACAAGAATGATTATTTGACACTCATGATGACTAGCGACAAAACGCCACATGAATACTCGAATATTATATACTTATTTCTATAGGTTTTAAGTTGTCCACTGAGTTATAGGAAATCATTTTTCAAATATTTACGAGCATGGGGGTTCGTATATGATTAACTGACCCGATGAATCACCCTATACGAGGTAAATATTTCCTAAAACTCGCGAGTCCTCTTTCGCAGTGTAGTAATGCCAACGGCCTGGCCTTTATCCAAATACTCACATACACATATACACACGATCTAAATGTCACTTAAAGCGGATAAGGGTTAATCATGATGTGTTGGCACGTATAAGGCCAAAGAATTTTTACGATGTCCATAAACCATTCGGATGGACAATATAATAATATAATACCATTAATATGCCCTCGATATACAATAATAATAATAATAATAATAACGATAATTTATTAGCGATATCTGTGGCGAACGTTAAAAATGGACGTGTCTTGCGGCCATATTAGAAATTAACTTTTTAATTTTTCCCCCTATAAAATACAACATCGTTACGAAATCGAAATTCATTGATCACAGAATAAAATAATAGTATGTATAATATCGTACAGTGTTCAAGGAGTAGAACATTAAAGAAGATAATATTATCACGCTTAGGTCCCAGCTACTCAGTTGATGATATACTCAAGAACTGCGGTTTGTTCTAGAAACGTACGGAAAACAATTAAATATATCTGTTGCATATACGAACAATGCATAACGTGTAATTATGTAGAGTTGGCTTGGTATATAGACGGAGTATATAGGCGGGAAATTTTAATTATAAATCAAACTTTAGAAACATGGACGAAACGAAAAGGTTATTATTTATTCAATAGCACAGAACTATAGGGGAGAAAGGAAAAAACCCTATATCAACTTTAATACGAATTATTATTAGTTTTAATAATTGATCGGCCGGCGGGCATCATATTATGTAACATGTGGGAAATATGACCAGCGGTTGCTTAAACATTTAATTTTCCGAGAAAAAAACCGAGTCGACGACAAATGAAAAAGAAATAAAAGACACACACACACACACACACATATATATATATAAAATTATATAGGTATACCTACACTCTCATTAATGTCAGTCACTAGTCAGTCAGTCAGTCAGTCCTGAACTCGTTAAGGACAAATAATAATTGTTACCTGCACAACATTATTGGCAATAAATGAATAGGTTTTTCATACATATAAATTTTTTTTTAACAATACAACTTTATGCCAAAACAACAACCGTCCACAATAAATTTTAATGGTGACTTAAAACAGTGAATTATGGTTTAGATATAACTGAAGGACAGGGGGTTGGCATTTTAAATTATGTCTTCCACTATTCTTACTTAATCTACAATTTGATTGAATAGCTTCAAAAATTATCATCATAAATTCGTGAATTTGAAAGCTATAAGTTATCAAAAATTCGAATAATTAATTTAAAAATAGACTTAAACTGTGATAGTGAGCCCTACTTAAGAACAAACATACGACGGAATTAAGTACTTTAATTCTAGTTTAAATTTAGAGATCTAAAGTAAAAGTTTGTAAGATGCATAAAATACATATATGTAAAAGTATAAATAATGTCTTCATTTTTCATACTTTTATCCCAATATTAGTGTAGCCAACATTTTTCAATAGAAGAAAAAAAATACCTTAATATAGATCCTATATGTATAAGTAATTATTATTTTATAATATATCATCATGAAATTAATTAGGTGATTAGTTTTGTCGGATTTACATTTGAATAAAAAAAAATGATTAAACCGAACAAAAAATGCACTGTTGTTACCGTTTCCTATACGCTATTATAATTACCTTGTTTTCTTGTAAGCATATTGTAAACTTATAAAAAACTTACAGCCTTATTTTTACTATATATTTATAGAAAATATATATAATTTATAATACAAGATGATAGTAGATTAATATATCAAAATAAATAATATAAGTTTAAATAAAATGTTATTAACCAACTAACTAACAACTAAAACTTTAAGAAAATGAATAAAAATATATATAATTTACCACGGCTACGAGATAGGCAAAATAGATACAGACATGTCTAACAATAAATACAATTGCATGCATATAACACACTTAAGGGATCTAACATCAAATTCAGAAATATTTTAAAATATGAACATGAAACAAAAATGTATTTACACAAAATTATTATATAGAAATTACATACATAACCATAAATAATCATGATTTATTATTGTGTTATAGTGTAGGTATAAATTGTATTTAAACTTTAAATAATATCTTTACCTATTAGGTATTTATTATTTTTTAGCCAGTAGTAAAAAATATTTAAATGAACAGTAGTATAGCTAGTGTCTATTTTAGTAAATAACTCTTATTTAAGGTTTATATTTAAATTATTATGTAATTAATCACATAATTACGGTAATTATCTGATACATAGTTGTATTAGTTTATACTTCATTCTAAAATTAAGTTTTTTTTCTTCTAAGAAAGAAGTTATTATAAAAATTGAAGAAAAGTCATTAGGTATAAACTGACAGTCTGAAAAATGAGAAAGTAGTGTTTGATTTTTATATAATCATTTTTGCAATTGTCGTTGACCAACAATAATTATTGTTAATCACACCATTATTAGTTAAGCCACATTAAAAGTAATTCGAAAAAACAACAATAAAAATAACAAAAATATGTGATTATAATTATCATGTTTTATTTGTAAGGTATGTATTAATGTATGAGGAACGTTAACCTAAAAATTATATTTAAACATAATATCCTGAATGTATATTTATTATATTTTATTCAAATTTTTTATTTCACAATTTGTTATAATATAGTTTAAAAACAATAAGAGAGTAGGAGTATTTAGAAGAAAAATAAACATGTTTCGCAGAATGAATATTCCACCTTCTGGATATGAGTTTAACGATTTGTTAGTTAAAAACTATTGAGATAGGATAAATCATTAAATATGTATTATGATTATTATTTTAATTATTTATGCAATTATATTATAGCATAAATATTTTTAAGAGTATTGACAACCCATACTATATTATATTATTTGAATGCGCAGTAACTATTGATTGCGACCTGTATGTAACACCCTTAACCTATATATATTTTTTCAGACCGTCTAATTTGCTCGGACGACGTGATAATAATTATGAGCACGTTAACTGTACTCCCTAATTTATGTAGGC